TTGTTTAAGAAACTGTTACTACATACTTACAGGCTCTGCTGGTGCCATCTTAGAAATACAAACACTTCTCCTTGAGAGCTCTTGGAGGGCAGGTGAGGTACCAAAAGACAGGAAAAAAATGTAAACATGGTGTCTATCTCTATATATAGAGGGAGAAAAGAGGAGTAAGAATTATAGACCAGTCAACTTCTAGAAGCTTTCAAGAGAATTGAACTATCAATCAAACAGTTTGCTAACACCTAGGAGATAAAAAGGGACATGAGTGACATCCAGCATGGATTATACAAAAATGAGGTATATTTAACTATTCTCATTTGATTTCTCAGCAGAAGTAGGAGAGGAATAGTTGGTGCCATATCTAGAGTTTGGGAAGGGTTTGACATGGTCCCACTTGACTTTTACAAAGTAACCTGGAAAAACATTCTAGATAAAACTTATTCAGATCTTACACACTAATGGGTGAGTAGCACAACTGATTCTCCAAGAATACAGTTATCCATGGCTCATGGTCAGAGCAGATAACTCTGTCAACCAGGATTCTGCAGGGATCTGGGTTGATTTCCTTCAAAATTTTCAATGAAAAATGGATGAAAATACATAATTACACCTGGCAGTGACATGGATCTGGGAGAGGTACTTCAGCACACTGGAAGATAAGCTTTACAGCTTTAAATGATCTTAACCAGTTAGAGAAGTGAGGACTGGGTCTAGTCTGGGGCACTGAGCCTCAAGAAGGAGGAAGACCCAGTTGGAGAAAGTGTAGGGAAGAGTGATTGCATTTACTAAACCTGGCTTAGGTTGGAAGGGCCGGATGGAAAGTGCCAGAATAGCTTGTCTGGGACTGCAGTGGGGAGGGGGGGAAACTGTAGCCTCTGCTCCAGGAGGTTTTCAAGACAGATTGACAAGTATTCCCCCAGGAGTCACCTAGGCACACTGGCTTCTTGCTTGGATCAGCCCCAGGCTGAGCCCCAGCCCAACCACGCTGAAGCTGTCGTGTCCTTTGTTCAAAGCTGCTGTTTCACAACCGCTGGGGCAGTGAGTGTCAGCAGGGACATACGGCAAAATTATCTTTGGCTTTGCCTTTTTAATACATTCGTTTTGTAGTAAAAGGATGAAGGCATGTCAGTGCTTTGTTGAACAGAAGCCAAACAAGCTGCTATGCAGAATGCACCCCCTGTTTCCAAGTATTTCATTTATTTTGTAATTAAGCAATAATCGCTGAGGCATTGGGCACTTCTTCAGGATTAATGACTTGCTGGGGAATGACAGAAGATTTGATCTGCAGTGGAACCATTTTCCCCAGCAAATACCTGTCTGTTAATGCCATTCTAAAACGAGTATGACAACATAACATGCAAACATATGGGTTTTGCTGTTAGCAGCTGAGGGATAGGGAGCAGGCATTAATAGGTATGTTAGACAGTCAGGTTGCTTCAGTTGTCTCTCACCATTCCATTCAGAGCACAGTGTTTTATTAGTCACTTCATGAATGAAATGGCTTTTTAATTGTTCAGAATCACTTTTAAAAATTACAGCATTGTCTCCCCTCTCCACAGCCCCAGGAGATCCCCTTAAATCCCTTTTCTTCCTCTGCCCTGGAGAGAACCGGCTGTAGTGTGGCAAAGAGGAACCTGCCGCAGCAGTCTCCTTTGTGTTTCAGCCACAGGAAAAACACAAGCTGTTTAGAAAACAGATGATTCACATTTTTAGTGCTGAAACCCCTCTGTTCCCATTAATTTGCAGGTTGCTTAAGGAGTAGCCCACCCTGCCAGAACCTTTAAAGACTTCCCAGTCTTGACTCGCTGCTCACTTCTATTAGTCCCTACACAGTGTGCGTTTTTAATGGTCACGGATCACTTCAATATCCAAACCCCACTGCTTCTTGTGGCCTGCAGCACGCAAGCTGGCTCAATTCATCCCCCATAACATTGTACCTCCCAAGAGTGTTGTCAGAGCTTTAGATGTCCGCTAGGCAGTAAAGCACAGGAGAGGCAAGAAGGAAGGGGTATCCCAAATGGGTGAGCGGCAACATGGGCAAAGCTGCCACGGGAGTTCAGCCACCACATTACTAAGGCAAGAGGAGAAACATTTGCTAAAAGCATATAGGACAATAAACCAGTTCATGGTGTCCTAGCAGACTTTGGAATGGCACTAGTCAGCAGGGATTTGCGCGCTCAAATATTAGGTAATGTGCTAACTGCATCATTGATTAATCCGTAGGTACTTCCTACAGCAGAACTTCAATACTGTCATCCACAGTGCTGCTTTCAGTCACTGGGGCTGCTTTCCCAGAGAGATTTCACTGAAGAACAATCAGGGTGTTTTTTCTCCACACTCTTTTCTGCCCCCTTTAAAAGTAGTGCTTTTACATCTGTGCTTTGAACGATGTCAGCGTGTTGCCCAGTCAGCAGTATGCTCACTGAGGGATCCCAGAGCCACTCCATCACTTAATTCTGCCCCTTCAGCGCAAGGAGCCGTTACTTGATAGGAAGCTTACTGGCTTGAAAGACTGAGTATTTAGAAGTGAAAACATCAGGCAACAACTTCATGGCACAAGGCCAGAGACGGTTTAAACTCTGAAGAAGACCAAAACTCGCCTCTTTCCCTGTACAGCTGTTCAGCCCTCTTTTTGCCATATCAAGTCCCTAGTTGATGGCTGTTAGTAAAAGGCAGAAACAAAGCTAACCCAAGGTATGTGCACCACTCCAATCTCCACCTACATGGTCAATGGCTGAACCAAACAAATTTCAGATGCATTCTTTTGTGACATTTACACTGCCCCTCGTGTCCATCCTCTTCTTGCCTCTTTCTTATATCCCTCTTAGGTTTCCTTCTCTTAGTTGCCCCAGAACCAAGATTTAAATCCTCCCTGCCCCAAAATCCAACCCCAAGACAGCCAAACAGAAAGAATTAATTCTTTCCGGTGATGCTTTTGCTAACCACCTGCCTGCCTCCCACGGGACCCCTGTGCTGTCACGCTCATAGCTGGGAGGAACCACTGCTGGACAGTGTCTCTTGAATTCAGACAGGATTGATACAGATCCTTGTGCTTTGTGCCAGCCATAACTCTTCAGGTTTGACTGCAACTTTTGACAAAGAACACATTCCCCGGAAGTTCACCAACTTGTCTGAGTAACAGTAAGTGATCCATGAGATCCAGTGCCTACACACGGCTTTACTGGCCCTCCTCCTTCCCCGTTACTCAAATGCTGCTACTCCAAACCTCAGCGCAAGCACTGGATTCACACAAAATAAAAGCTACAGAGTATAAGGTCTGCTATTGCCCATAACTTTTCATCAAAATCAAAACTAGTTATAGAAAAAATTTTGCTAAAAATTGGCAAGTCTGGATTTACTAAATTAGAAAGGTTTTCATCCACCCCTGCTCATCTCAGCCTAGATGAGACAAACCAGCAGCCCATCATGCTGTTTCCAGAGCACCAGCACCATTCCCTCTTCCTGGAGCCAGGGTACTCAAGCAAGGGGCTCTGTCCAGTTCCTTGGATCAGTAGCTTAAAAATTTCCCAGACACCATTTAATTTGAACTACTTTCTGTCTTAGGCTGCCCTTTGCTTGTAGTCATACTTTTCCAGGACTCAGAGGGTGTTGGAGCAGCTCCTCCCAGGAGCTCAGTGTTCAGTGATGGGTGAGCGAAGGTTGTGGTGGGGACAGCAGAGAGTCAGCCACTTGTGTTAGTAAGCCTTTCTGTGAGCTTCACATCAGGGGAAGTAGATCTGTGTCTTTGTCAGCATGTTTCTATCAGCCTTGTTCTTCATGTAGTCATCTGTTAATAACACAGGGCTGGCAGCCGGCCCTGTTCTCCAGCGCCATCCCAGCACTGTATCTATTGCAAGCTCACTGATCCCCGCTGGCGCTCCCTCTCCCCAGGGGATGCCAGCACTGGTCGGGACCTTGGTTTGTGTGTATCTGATTTAGCCAAAAGGAAACAAAAATCGTGTTACAGACAGGATGCTAGGTTTTATCAGTGGCCAGATCTGCTACTGAAGGACTCTCTGTTGTCCAGTGAGATCTGAGGATGAGCAAGCAAGGACTTCATTTCAGCTAAGCAGATCATCCTCTCTGCCGGTATTTAAGAGACAGGATCATAATTTATGTCTTCACTGGGGAGAATTATTGTCAAACACAATTAGCTCTGCAAATCATAGCTGTTTGTAGACACATCACCCGGGCTTGGTTCTTGAGTTACTTAGAGATGAAGAAATTATAGAAGTCAATCTTCTGACCTGAGCAACGGACTGCAAGAACTCGCTCCATCGTATATTCCTTTTGTGGAGTTTATTAGAGACCAATGCACAGAGCTGATAGGACTGAGGGTCTCATTCCCGTGTTGATTCAGGAAGGGATAATATAACATGCCTTGAGGCTGCAAAACTCCCAGTACTACTTTTATCAGAGAGGGAAACAGGATAGAGGTGTGAAGGGTTGTAAATAGTTTAAGTGCTACACAACTAAGTCACTTCCCCTATCCTGTGTCCCAGTATGTACTGGGGTATTTTGATTCTGGTTCCTTTTGTAAGGTGCCTCAGGAGCTACTGTGAAAATGACTACACAAGAACTAGGGTTTTCTGTTACTTGTTTCAGTGGTTAAGATCTGACCTGATGGTCATTGTAAACATTGAACATATTTGCATAGACCTTGACAGGTAAGGTAATGTAGGACCTGGAAACCTCCCCACTGTGACTAGTAAGCATGCAAACACGAGGCTCTGTGTTTGCAGTTCACTTGGGAGGGAGGTACCATGTGTGCCAACCCTGCACAAAACCTCCTTGAGAGAGAGAAAAAGGGATGCTAATTCCAGGCACTGGGCTCAGACACACCACTGGTGAACAACCAGAAAGGTTTAAAAAGAAATGCTGACTAAATTAAGTGAATCAAGCTAGCAGATGTGCTCTTCAGAAAAGCACAGCTTTCTTTTAAATGTCTCCCCTACTGAAATGACATTCTCAAGAGATTTTTGTCCTTTGTGTTTTCTTCAGGATCATCCATGAGGATGGCTTCTCTGGAGAAGACGTGAAGCAGTACAAGCCAGTGGTCTACAGCAACACTATACAGTCACTGGCCGCTATTGTACGTGCCATGGATACCTTGGGCATTGAATACGGTGATAAGGAACGACGGGTAAGTTAAAATCACCACTGTTCGGGTACAGAGAGCTGAGCACCTGGAGACTCCAGAGCACATACAGGAGGCATTTGCACAATCTGAATACCTTGGATGGAAAAGGGGGGAAGCTTTACATCGCTGTTGTGTGCCTGTTGCACATGCACATCAACAAACAGAGGCTTAGGCACAATTGCATATGACACCATTTGTACACCTACGCTAGGAAGTGTAGCCCTGGGGACATCTTTGTCACAACAGCCACAGTCTCTCATGCCCTGGCACTAGCCAGGCCAGTACAAAAAATATTCTGTTATCTAGGGACAGCTTAGGCAGAGGTACTGACAGACTTGGGGAAACAGTGAGAACATGTGTCCTGTCTACGGTGCATGTGCTGCATACACAGGCTGCAAGGAGAATGTCTCAGGGAGAAGTGTTGCTGCTGTTCAGATCCCTTCCACTGCCTGCTAATACGGGAAAGCTTTTAGGATTAGCTTGACTTTTGCAGGGACTTGACTGGCTTTTACTGATACATCCCCCATCCAAGTGTACCCAAACAGCAATTTCGCTTGCAAACAAGAGGATGTATTACTTCAGTGAACAGGGTCTTAGGCACCAGTGTTAGCATGCGTCCTAGCAGAATAAGTGTGCGATGTCTGGCCTTCTCATGCCACACACCTAGGCCAGCCTGTCCTTTTACAGTTGTTACTCTTTTGTTACTTTAACCAGTTTCCTATTTTTAAACAGTGGCTCCTCTGTGAGGTGCCTTTGCCAGCCTCTGCCTTTCCTTACTGCATTTCTGGCTCAGACCAAGCCTGCACCGAGAAACTCAGAGCCCTAGAAAAGTAACAACCACCCTTTTTGCATGCTGCCATCACAGAGAAAGTAAAACTACCTAGTTTCACTGGTAATAAAATACTTTCAGATTAAAGACCTGGTAAAGGCAAAGTCTATACGCCACTGAGTTTGTCATGACTATTTTTAGGTAGCTATCAAATATATACAACATACCCCAAAATCCTTATCTGAGGGTTGATAATAAAAGCATTCACTAGAAAGGATGCCAGAATCCTGCTGTGGTGTTACTGCATGAAAAGCTACCTTATTTCTCCCAATCATAAAGGGGTATTTTGATTTCTTTGCATCTAGGGATTTTTCCCACAGGAACTCTAAATCCTGGAGACATTTCCATCCCAAACATAGAGATGATACCATAATGGAGTTCTTGCGAGCTTGCCGAGAACTAATGCTGATGGCTTTCGAACTGAATGCATTAATCTGTTGATTACTTGGTGACTCAGCTCTCAGCAAGGCAACGTATCTTGTCTCGGCTAAAAACCTATGCCCAGGAAAACAGAAACAAATCATTCTCTGTGTCTGATAAATAGTGTGTGGCAGACAGCTGTAAAATGTAAAAATTTTTTTTTATTTTTTAAATGCCTGAAGTCCTAATATGAGAAGGAAAACTCAGCACTGCTTTAGTGTCAGGCCTGGCAAAGTATGGGGTGTGATAGGGGAGAGCTGTTATCAGGACTGCCAGGAATGAGAGATGGAGTACTGGGCTGCACAAAATGTCACGTCTGTTCATATTCCTATGGAAAAGATGCCAAATGTTCCTTGGGTCATACGATAACTCAGACTGGAAAGGAGCTCAGGAGGTGTCTAGCCCAACCTTCTGCTCAAGCAAGGTCAGCTCTGAGGTCAAATCAGGTTGCTCTGGGCTTTAGCCAGTTGGGTCTGAAATCCTCTGAGGACAGAGACTGCACACCCTCTTTGGGCAACCTGGCCCACTGCTTTGCTGTCCTCATGATATGTCTAGTGTGAAACACTCTTGTTTCAATTTATGCTTTATGGCAGTAGGGATCATATATTATGCCTTGCAAAGTAAAAAGCAAGTTAGATTAAGTTCTCCCCAGCCTCCTCTCCCCTAAGGTATGCAGTCCTGGAGGAATTACTCCTATCATACAATGGTGTCATGCTGACTGTGTACAGATAAGCTTGCCACAAACCACTATAAACCAAACAACAGTCTGGGAGGACTGATTCAGAGTATCTTCTCCCTTCATAGATGGGAGTAATATTCCTTCATCCAGCAGTAGACAAAGGGGAAAGAAACCAAGTCTCTCAGACTGTGGTCTTCCACTTGCTCCTTTCTCTTAGTCAACCTCCACAGAAAGTTGCTGGTATTAGTATGAAATAGTATTTATTTTAATCTTACAAAGACGTGCATGATGTCTGCTGCACCGCTTTTGTTATTAATGCACAGCTGCTATAAAGAGAGGCCATTAAACAAGCAATTTGTTGAGTATTATGCTACATGGTTCATCCCTTTTCAAGAAAAGCTTTTCTATTTTAAAAGTCATTCCTCAGCCAAGGTTTCCAATGCAAATCTTTTAGTGGGGGATTTTCCCCTACTCATCACTTAAGCCCACAAGAGAAGAGAGCTCAGGAATGGGAGCCGGGACTGTGGCTGCTCAAGCCTGATTCAGCAACAGGGAAGGAGGGAGCACGGGCCCAGGACAGGTTTTCCCCAGGGACTGCTTGGCTATTACAGCTTCCCCCACCCCAACCTCATGGGAGATGCATCTGCCCCTGTATCCCTTCCAAATGGCACCCTGACCATGTTTGGAGAAAAAAAACCCATCCTCCTCTACTTAATAAATGCAAATGAGATTATTTGTGCTTTTATTATTGAGGTAAAATAACCAAATCCTCTCTCTCTGTTCTCATTTTTCTTCTGCTCATAATTATACCTCCAGTATTAAGTCTATTAGGAGCAAAAGACTGGAGGAAGAGTCAAGACTAAACCCCTTAGCTTTTGTCAGTCAAAGTGAGACCAGTGTAGCAAATAGGAGCTAAAAAGACAAAATATATCATGAAAAGCAGATGCTCCAGGTCTTGCTGACCATCTCTGCTGATAAGGACCTGTCCCCAGGTTGAGAACACAGCAGTCTGCATGTAGGATTTCACTTTTCTACATGCTGCTTGTTCAGGGGAGCAGGTTTTCTTGCAACTGTGCCTGGCTCACAAAAGACTGGAGGCATCACCTAGGCTCTTGTTTCATATCCTTCAGCACAGGGAGGCAGGAGCACGCCCTTCCAGCTCATGACATGTTATCGCCACGCACAGCCTGGAAGGTCAGTCTGAAACTCCAGAAAAACTGTGCAAGTGCAAAGTCACAAATCCTTTACATGTTGCAAGAGGGCAGGCAGAAAAGGAGCAGTCAGTGAGGACACAGGAACCAGCTGTGGGTGTCTGTGGGTGCTCCTCTTCTCCAGGGCCATCACTGCCCTAGGTCTGGATCCCCAACTAGCCAAGAGCAAGGGATTGCATGAAGGAAGATGGGCAGAGGCTTGGTGTTGCTTGGCTACTCAAGACCCTCCAGCTGGTCCATAGGGCACTACTCAGTCCTTACCTTCATAATCAGATTAACAGGCAGGAAGGAGTCAGGCCATAACATGTAGCCTCTGGATTAAAGAGTTCTCTAAAGCGCAAATGTATTAACAAAGCAAATTCCTCACTGTACCCAGGTGGAGGAAATGGGAAATGGAGTTTTAAAGCCAGGAATCTAGAAGTCAGTGCTAGTGTCTGGTTCTGACCAAGCAGGAAGGGCAGGGAACTGATGGATTTTCATCTCCATTTGAAAAGCCAGTTCCAAAGTCCAGCTTCAGAAATGCTAACTGGATGAAGTCTGAAGTCTCTTCCTTGGCAGATCAGTGCTGACCCCAGAAGCTATTTGGAAATGCAGCACCTGCAGACTCACTCAGGTGCAACACCAGAGCTACAGCCAGTCTGGGGTGGGGGTGTCCACAGCTTGGTGTGGTCCCAGGCTGCAGTTGAGCCTGCCCAGTCAAGCACACTGCCCTGTGCAAGCTGCTGTGAAAACAGCTGTAGATCGTGTTCATATTAACATAAACCAGACAGAAACAGGATGAAATTGTTCAGAAATTACTCAACAGAGAATCCCAATATCAGTCTCGTGGCTCAAATACAAGTGTCTGAGGTGGCAGGGTCACAAGTCCTGCCCTCGGGGTCTGGAGGTGGCACGCAGTGACCTTCAAATTGAACTTTTTTCCCAGTGGGAGTCTGGAAATGTCTCTGCTTCAACTGTGAAAGGGAAAACTAAAAAGCAGTTAAAGTGTTAAAAAATTTTGATAGGGAATTTTTTTCTTTCAGGCTTTGTAGCAAAATGTGATTGTAGTGACCTTATGCTGTATAGTGTGTAACTCCTGAACTGTGAGCTGAACAAAGATGTACCTGGACTGGCTAGTAATATTTAAAAAAATCTTTTTAGTGTAATTGAACAGCCCACCCAAGGCAGCTGGCAAGGAGGGCCACGAGCACCAGCTCTAACCTGCTTCTGAACAGCGGGGTGCAGGCAGAAAGCCTGTGGCTCCAGCCCTGTACCCTCTGCATGTGCCAGAGGCAGTGGCAGGACTGACGACACAGCCACTGTCACCTGCAGCCTTCCAGCCACTGGAAGGGATCACTGTGTGGGAGGAGCTCTCTTTTGTAAGATCTGCTCCTGTGTAACTGCCTTTTTCTACTTGTCAGCTTGAGATATTTGTGGATTTTACTTCTTTTCAGGCAGGTATCTGTTTAGACCAGCTGGCTCCTACTGCGTGTCCCTAACCGAAGCTCTCTGAGGAATGCAAAAAAGCTGCTAATAACTTTGGGGAGGGCAGATGAGGTTAATTAGGCACTGCCATGCTGGTAGGAAGCTTCCGTTTGATATCTGGTAGCTAATGGGGTGATCTGGGGGATGGATGCAGGTTTCCTGGGTTTCTGCTGCTGCAGTGAGGATATGGCCAACCCTTGCTGGTCTGCTTTTGTAAGCGATGGGAACTTCAGCATGGTGAAGTGTAACTTAGGGCTGCTTTGTAGAGAAGCAGGATGGGGTGAGAGAAAAGGAGAAAGGGCCTAAGAGGGTCATTAGCCACCCCACTTTTGCCTGGTGTCAGCATTTGTCTGGATGTCCAGCTGCAGCTGAAGTCTGATTGCTTTCTGTATGCAATAGC